GCCACTTAAGGGTTTTAAAATGTTGACTTCTTCTCTAAACCCTATGATTTGGAATTGCAGTTGGCACATTTCTGAAAGAGATTAGCAGTGCTTATTTTTGTGCAGTAGAGAAGATGATATCAATGTCCCTTCCAACAGGGCTTAGGCCAATGAATAGTTGTGTGTTTGCAAGTCTGGCTCTGTCCATTTCTGCTGGATGTCATGTGGGGGGACTTGACACCTGGGCTGTATTACTTGTGGCCAGAGAAGCCATGAAAGGAAAGGGTGCATGAACATTAGCACTCCTTAGAAACGATTATTTAGAACCTGTTTGGCATCAATATCATGGTCTCCTATTCAGCCTATTACTTCCAAGCAATTGTATTGCCCTTTGAAATATTAAGCAATAAGTTTTAGCATCAAATAAAGTGTTTTATAGAGAAGTGATTCATTTCTAAAAAATTCTCTCCTACTTTCTTCCAAGTAGAATATATGCTCATCTTTCAAAACTCAGGTCATATGTTCAATTTCCCCCAAACTCATTCCTGATTACCATTTCCACAAATCCCACTTAGGAATGAAGCCCATTAGCTTCTGTCACAGTGTCACATGATGTTGAAATTGTCTTGTGTGCTCTGTTTAGTTGAAGAAAATTCTGTATTCTTGCTTCATGCATCTTTGAAAATAATCCCAGTAGCCTGGACCAGATTTAATAATGACTAGATAACACATAAACATTTTAAACCAAATAGTATTTCTCTTTTTAGACAGTTATCCCTGGAAATAATAATAAAATCCCCCCACAGATCCAAATAAACCAATAGATGATGTGTCCTAAATGAGCTAAGAATGTTTTGTGTTTTGGTACCTGAATTACTTACTTTACCAGGTTGCATTCCATTATTCTGAGTCTTTTGAATTTCATTTGTTCATCAAGTGCCCTTTCGATATGTTCTCTTACTTGGCACGTCTGGTGTGAGGGTATTTAGCACAACGTATAGAGATCACCTATTTGCATGGCCTTACCACCTGTAACCTCAGTCAAGTTGTGCATGTCTCTGGCTACCTCCCTGTCCCATTCCCAGAAACTACCTTGTTGTGTGCAGAATAGTTCTTAAAGAATGATTAGAAATGCTTTTCCATAAAGATTTAATGTAGTATGCCACCATGGAGTGAGGATTGAAGGCATGTGTCTAACCAGATAAAGTCATTCTTAAGATTATTTTATTCCAGGAAACAGAGACTGATACTAAAAGCTCTTCTGTTAACGTTGTTAAGACTTCCTATTTAACTTTTTTGGTAGCAGTGCGGGTTCTTTGTTGTAAAGAATAAAAAGAACTCTGGCCAGCTTAAGAAAAATGTATCAGGTGTTATAATTAATAGAGTAATGGGAAGACTAGACTGGGGGCATGAGAAATAGGCAGGAATCAAGGGAAGCTGGAAGCCAGACCACATCTATGTTTACATTCTAATAACAAGAGCAGGCTTGCACTCGGTCCTAGATATTCCAGATGAATTCTCAGCTGTCTCCTTTCTTCCAGGACATCATCCTCTGTCATCAGCTAACTGGTACTTATTCTGAGGACAAATTTGTCTGTGTCCCTATTTTTGGAGTGGGAGGTCCCTCCCTGTAACACTCACCCCATGCTAGTTTCTGCACACATAGGTAGGGACACCTGGGTACAAATACCACCCCCCTCCAAAAAAAAAAAAAAAAAACCAGAAATACCCATCCATGTCTCGTTTTCACTGACTGCAGTCCTATTTTCATGCCCTGGGACAGTCTGCTGTTCTTTATCAATGCCTCCTATTTCTCCCTGCATACACAGTTCCCTGACTTAATATTTATTCTAACATAAAATGCTCCTTGTGAGGAAATTTTAAAAAAATTCTCACTATTCTAATGACAGGGAAGGATATTTATTGTCACATGACACATTCATGTTAGTGATAAAATACTTCTTGCATTCTAAAAATTAAATGGCATTTATTCCAAATTTTTAAAAAGTTGCTTCCCTAGTCTTTTAAGAGTATATTGCTAATCAGAAGATGCTGTGTATTTTTGCTTATTTTGTCTTAGTGTACATAAGTCAGCTCTTTGAAATTTGTAAGTTTCAGAGAATAGAGTGTACTTTTTTTAAATTTTTTATTTAGTAAATATAAATTTTCAAAGTACAGTTAATGGATTACAATGGCTTCCCCCCCCATAATTTCCCTCCCACTCATACCCCTCCCATCTCCCACTCTCTCTCCCTTCCATTCACATCAAGATTCATTTTCAATTATCTTTATATACAGAAGATCAATTCAGTATATATTAAGTAAAGATGTCATCAGTTTGCACCCACACAGAAACACAAAGTGTAAAATACTGTTTGAGTACTAGTTATAGCATTACTTCACATTGGACAACACACTAAGGACAGATCCCACGTGAGAAGTAAGTACACAGTGACTCCTGCTGTTGAGTTAACAATTTGACACTCTTGTTTATGGCATCAGTAATCTCCCTAGGCTCTAGTCATGAGTTGCCAAGGCTATGGAAGCCTTTTGAGTTCGCCAACTTTGATCTTATTCCAACAGGGTCATAGTCAAAGTGGAAGTTCTCTCCTCCCTTCAGAGAAAGGTTAGAGTGTACATTTTTGAGATATCTTTTTAAAAATGTTTTCTTCTCAATGAAATACTATCAAGACAAGCTTATATTGTACAATACAGAGCTCTCTTTACTTCATCTAAGTCTTGTGACAAGTGAATAAAAATATTTTTCTAATTTGTAATATGTAAAAAGATTTCATTACTTAAAGGCAAAGAGCTTTGCTTTAAAAATAGTGATAATTTTTCATAAAATTCTCTTGATTTATTTTTCTAAGATGAAGTTTTCCCAGATTTAGTTCTTATACTAAAAAATAATTAAGGCAAGTTTATAGGCAGAAAAAATGTTTTCTGACTTCCAGTGTAATAGTTAAAAAAACCAACTGAAGCTTGCAAGCTTAGAATGCAGTTTTCTCCATACAGCAATCATCATTTATTTTTTACTTCATACAAAATTCACTTATTTATCACTAGCGGCCTCTAGTGTGCATTCAATTCATTCCTGCTTGACTGTACATTAGTTGGTTATTAGTAACTGGAGAGCAGTTTTGTGTGCTAGGAACAAGAATAACAACTACTGCTCCTGTCATCTTAGCATTTTATCAGTCAGTGAAAAGAACATTTTCGCATAATAGTGTGGTCTTATGATTCCTATTAACAGTAATGGGGCTTTCTTAGGAACTGCTGTCTTTTGGAAGTTCCTCTCCAAGGCTCACCTCTGATGTGCCAGGGGAAGGAGTCAGTGATCATGCATTACATGATGCCTTCTAATGCTTTTATGGGATGGTAGCAAGTTAGGACATAGGTGCCAAAGGTACCAAAACAAGTGATTTTAGCCAGATCTTCGCCAAAAATCTGAACTAAACCATCTTTATTTGTTCAGTTTTAAATGGCACTGTTTTCAAGTAATTTTAAACACAGCTATAATTATAAATAAAAATAATGAGTATAAAGAGAAAATAATTTAAACAAAACACATCTATATTATTTAGCATTTACTTTTGAAAAACTTTTTTTTATTTAAAGGTACATTGTCTAGCTTTCTGTCTCCTCTGCTCATAGTGAATTTGGGAAATGCAAGAAAACACAGATAGAAATCAGAATAAAAATGAAGTAAAATATTGCCCTTGGAGATAACTACTGTTAATATTTTTATACTTACAAATTTTTTTCCTTATTTTTGTGGGTTTGTTTCTGTATTGCTAAATGCATACATGTGTGCACATATAATAAAAGAGATTTCTATGTGCATTTTACTCTATATCATGCCTTTTTTTAAAATTATGAATGCATGTCATTGTATACATTTTATTTGTTAAATTCTTAGTTGTTAGTCTCCATATTTCAGAAATGTATGCAATTTATAATTTTTATAAATAAATCTATCAACTTAAAATTTTATTTATTTTTTGAGATAACATTTTATATTAAAGTCAAAGGCTTAATGACTGCATTAGGTAAAGAGTTCAAAAAAATTAGTAGTACAAAGAGCGTAGTGCAGCAGGAAAACAGGCAAGGGATATAAACAATAATCAGATAGCAACAGGTCCAACTTCACTCGAATGAAGGAAATTTAAAAGCCACATAATCATTAAAATTATAGTTGTGTACAATTCTTTTTTAAAAAAATGTATTTATTTATTTGAAAGGCAGAGTTACAGAGAAGCAGAGGCAGAGAGAGAGAGAGAGGCCTTCTATCTGCTGGTTCACTCCCCAGATGGCCACAATGGCCACAGCTGCACCGATCCAGAGCCAGGAGCCAGGAGTTGATTCCAGGTCTCTCGTGAAGATGCAGGCTGCTTTCCCAGGCCATAGCAGAGAGCTGGATCAGAAGTGGAGCAGCTGGGACTCGAACCGGCACCCATATGGGATGCCGGCACTGCAAGTGGCAGTTTTACCCTCTACGCCACAGCACCAGCCCCTGTAATTCTTATTAATTAACTTGTTTGGAAAAGCATTAAAGCTTGACAAGACATTGTATTTGTAGCAAAACATATTTTTATATTGGATTCTTTTTATAATTTTCGCTCTTATATGTAAAGGAGAACATATGATACTTGTTTCTGTGTCTTATTGTTTCATTCAACATGTCTTCCAGTTCCAATCATTTTGCTGCAAATGATAGATTTTTTGTTTTAGAAGGAAAGCAGCTTTATTAGGAAGGCTAAAATGATTGTCTTAAGGATTTGAAAATTTTATTTCTGACATCCTCCAATACTTGGGAGTCCATTTACATGCACCTGTTCTTTCTTCAGACCAGTAGCTTCAGCCTGGAATTCAGCTTAGTTTCCTTGGAATCACACCCTGGGCTCCAAGGTGCTGGACCTTTGAACCAACAAGCAGGCCACTGTGATAGCACCTGAACACAAGACAAGGTTGCGGGTCAAAGGTTCCTCATACACTGGTATCCCTCAGTCCTGTCTTACCCAGTTTCTCGGGTGTTCGTGTGTCTTCATGGTGTCTCATAGTGATCTAGTTTGATTCATCCCAGAAATAGAATTTCACTTTTTATAACTGAATATTATTTCAATGTGTACGTAACACATTTTCTTTATCTGATGGTGAATACCTTGGTTGATTCCATATTTTGGCTATTTTGAACAGTGTTGCTACAAACTTAGTGAAGTAGGTATTTCCTTGCCACAATGAGTTCATGTGTATTAGTTCATATCTTTTGGGTATATACCCACTAGTGGTTTTACTGGATCATGGTCCAGGTCTATTTCTAGTTTTTAATAAAATCTTCATACTGCTTTTCACAGTGGCTTCCCTAATTTACATTCTCACCAACAGCATGTAATAGTTCTCCTTTCTCTACATTGTCACCAGCGTTTGTTACCTTCTTGTGGATAATTGTCATTTTGACAGAGCGGTGTGGTATCTCCTTGTGGTATTGATTGGCATCTCACTGAGGTATGAGTCTTTGCCACTTAGGGAAGTTTCTTAGAAATTAGAGAAAAGCTATGAATTTGTTTTAATTTACTTTTTCTTTTTTGGTACATTAAATAGTTTTTGTGTTTATGGGCTGCCTTATGATGTTGAGATACCTGTATACATAGTATAATATAATTCAAAGTGGGGTTAAAAACACAAAACTAACAAACTGTAGCTCAGTGGCTCATTACACTTGGCCGTAGAAAACCTGGGAGAACTGACAGCCTGTTAGTGATCCTGAGGACGTCGGCCCCTGCCTGTATGTCTTCAGTTCTGTGTATTGTGTCTCAGCAGACTCAGAGAGAGATACGTGACGCTAATAAATTACAGTCGTTTGCTATCAGTGAAATAGCTTCTTATATTTGCTATATATATGCATTGGGGCTATTTCATATTTGTGAATAAGGAAAGATGAAGCCTTCTATTCTGCAGTGCAGTGGGCTTTGTGTGATTCTTCTGGACATCTGTAGCATTTTCTTTCACTACCCTGCCCTACTACTACTTTCTGTCTTTCTTTCTTTTTTTAAGATTTATTTATTTATTTGAAAGTCAGAGTTATACAGAGAAAGAAGGAGAGGCAGAGAGAGAGAGAAAAATCTTCCATCCGCTGGTTCACTCCCCAGTCGGCCACAACAGCCGGAGCTGCGGCTATCCAAAGCCAGGAGCTTCTTCCGGGTCTCCCATGCGGGTGCAGGGGCCCAAGGACTTGGGCCATCTTCTACTTTCCCAGGCCATAGCAGAGAGCTGGAATGGAAGTGGAGCAGCCAGGTCTCTAACCGGTGCTCATGTGGGACTATGGTGCTGCAGGCCAGGGCGTTAACCCACTGCACCACAGCGCCAGCCCTGCTGCTACTTTCTTCTAGGGAAATAAACCTATACCTTATTTTCCATTCAAATAGCCACTCTCATTCCTTATCTCTCTAATTCCAGCCCCTTTTGAAAAATAGCAAGCTGTGAATGAAGAAGTGTGTCTTCTGCTTGTCTTTTACTTTCTGCTGCTTAGTTTACCTTTTTTTGTTTGTTTTTGTTTTTTGACAGGCAGAGTGGACAGTGAGAGAGAGAAACAGAAAGGTCTTCCTTTTTCCCTTGGTTCACCCCACAATGGCCGCTGAGGCCTGCGCGCTGCGGCAGGCGTACCCTGCGCTGATCCGAAGGCAGGAGCCAGGTGCTTTTCCTGGTCTCCCATGGGGTGCAAGGCCCAAGGACTTGGGCCATCCTCCACTGTACTCCTGGGCCGCAGCAGAGAGCTGGCCTGGAAGAGGAGCAACTGGGACAGAATCCGGCGCCCCTACTGGGATTAGAACCGGGGTGCCGGTGCTGCAGACAGAGGATTAGCCTAGTGAGCCGCAATGCTGGCCTAGTTTACCTTTTGTGTCTTTCTACTTTTCTTTTTTTCCATTGCATGAATATGAGTATTAGTATAATATCTCACTGTTTTGCTCTGGTTTTGTGTATTTATTTTAATTTTTCACAAACTGTTGATTTTCTGAAGCCTTTCTCTTTTTTTTAGAAAGCTTTTATTTAATAAATATAAATTTCATAGGTGCAGCTTTTGGAATATAGTGGTTCTTCCTCCCATACCCGTCTTCCCACCCTCACTCCCATCCTACCTCCTATTCCCTCTCCTTTCCCATTCTTCATTAAGGTTAATTTTTTATTATATACAGAAGACCAACTCTATACTAAGTAAAGATTTCAACACTTTCTACCCCCACAGACACACAAAGTATGAAGTACTGTTTAAAGACAAGTTTTACTGTTAACTCTCATAGTACAACTCATTACAGACAGAGGTCCTACATGGGGAGCAAGTGCCCAGTGACTCCTCTTGTTGATTTAACAATTGACATTCTTATTTGTGACATCAGTGATCACCCTGAGGCCCTTGCCATGAACTGCCAAGACTATGGAAGCCTTTTGAGTCCACAATCTCTGTCATTATGTAGACAGGGCCATAAGTTAAATGGAAGTTCTCTCCTCCCATCAGAGAGGTACATCCTTCTTTGATGGTCCCTTATTTCCACTGAGATCTCAGTCACAGAAATCTTTCATGTAGGTCACTTTTTGCCACAATGTCTTGGCTTTCCATGCCTGAGAAATTCTCATGGGCTTTTTAGCCAGATCTGAATGTCTTAAGGGTTAATTTTGAGGCCAGAGTGCTGTTTAGGGCATTTGTCATTTTATGAGTCTGCCGTGTATCCCGCTTCCCATGTTGGATCATTCTCTCCTTTTTAGTTCTATCAGTTATTGGCAGACACTGGTCTTATTTATGTGATCCCTTTGACACTTATTCCCTTTCTTTATGATCAGTTATGCACTTAAACTGATCACTTTAACTGGTAATATGGCATTGGTACCTGCCAAATTAAGGGATTTGGAGTCCCATGGCAAATTTTTAGCTTTACCCTTAGGTGTAAGTCCATGGGAACATGTGCTGAACTGTATGTCTCCTCCCTCTCTTATTCCCACTCTTATTTTTCACAGGGATCAATTTTCAATGGGATTTAAAACCCTAAGAATCATTCTGTGTTAAGCAAAGAGTTCAACACAAGATACTAAGTAGAAGAAGAAAATAGTAAAAAGAATAAAATAATAAGCTGTTCCTCGACCGTCAGGACAAGGACTGATCAAGTCATTACTCTCATAGTGTCAATTTCACTTTTACATATTTCCATTTAGGTGCTCAGTTAGTTGTCACAGATTAGGGGGAACATATGATATTTGTCCCTTTGGGACTGACATATTTCACTCAGTATGATGTTTTCCAGATTCCTACATTTTGTTGCAAATGACCAGATTTCATTTTTTTTTAACGTTGTGTAGTATTCCATAGAGTACATATCCCATAATTTCTTTATCTAGCCTTCTGTTGAAGGACATTTAGGTTGATTCCATGTCTTAGCTATTGTAAATTGAGCTGCAATAAACGTGGAGGTGCAGATAGCTCTTTTATTTGCAGATCTAATTTTCCTTGGGTAAATTCCCAGGAGTGGGATGTCTGGGTCGTATGGTAGGACTATATTCAGATTTCTGAAGTATTTCCAAACTGTCTTCCATAGTGGCTTTACTAGTTTGCATTCCCACCGACAGTGGATTAGGGTACTTTGTCCCCCGCATCCTCACCTGCATCTGTTGTTTGTTGATTTCTGTATGTAAGCTATTCTAACTGGGTTGAGGTGCAACCTCACTGTGGTTTTGATTTGCATTTCCCTGATTGCTAGTGATCTGAACATTTTTTCATATGTCCGTTGGCCATTTGGATTTTCTCTTTTGAAAAATGTCTGTTTAAGTCCTTTACCCATCTCTTAACTGGGTTGTTTGTTTTGTTGTTGTGGAATTTCTTGATCTCTTTGTATATTCTGGTTATTAATCCTTTATCAGTTGCATAGTTTGCAAATAATTTCTCCCATTCTGTCAGTTGCCTCTTTACTTTCCTATTTCTTTTGAAGTACAGAAACTTCTCAATTTGATGTAATCCTAATTGTTAATTTTGGCTTTGACTGCCTGTGCCTTAATGTGATCTTTTCCAAGAAGTCTTTGCTGGTGCCTATATCTTGCAGGGTTTCTCCGATGTTCTCTAATAATTTGATGGTGTTGGGTCATAGATTCAGACCCTTAATCCATGTTGAGTGGATTTTTGTGTAATGTGTAAGGTAGGGGTCTTGCTTCATACTTCTGCATGTGGAAATCCAGTTTTCCCAACACCATTTGTTGAATAAACTGTCTTTGCTCCAGGGATTAGTTTTAGCTCCTTGATCAAATATAAGTTGGCTATAGAAGTTTGGATTGATTTCTGGTGTTTCTATTCTGTTGCATTGGTCTAACCATCTGTTTTTTATACCAGTACCAGGTTGTTTGATTATAACTGCCCTGTAGGATGTCTTGAAATCTGGTATTGTGATTCCTCCAGCTTTGTTTTTGTTGTGTATAAGACTGCTTTAGCTATTCGAGGTCTCCATGACTATATGAATCTCAGCATCATTTTTTCTAGATCTGAGAAGAATGTCTTTGGTATTTTGATTGGTATCGCATTGAATCTGTAAATTTCCTTTAGGGGAATGGACATTTTGATGATATTGATTCTTCCAATCCATGGACATGAAAGATTTTTCCTTTTTTTTTTTTTTTTGTATCTTCTTCTTTTTCTTTCTTTAATGTTTTGTAATTCTCATTATAGAGATC